GATTAAGAGGAAGTATATCAATACAATATAGATAATGTTGACTTGAGACACAATCACTTGCTTGTCTTTTTTTGCCATCATTGCAATCATTTGCACCAAGGAGTTCCCCCAGCCCCTCCTCAGGCTATAGGGCTCAGAATCAAGAGGCACGGGGGAACCATCGATCGGCGATGGGATAGATAGATATCAAGCACCCCTCATGCATCAGTAGGCCCCTTGCACAATTCAAAATGAATTCCGCTGCGCCACCCGCGGGATGACGGCCCATTCTTTGAGATAATCACACCGCTTTTTGTAGGGGGGGTGTGGTTATTTGCTATTTTCAAGGGATGATTGCTTTATTCAAGGGATAGACAGCAATTATCAGAAGAGCTCTTGTCCTTGTATCCGTCCCTTCGACTAGGCCGTAGGTATTCAACGATTGGAAGACCCGTCGCCAACATCATGGATATCTCCCGGCGGTTGCCGTCGCTGGAGTGGCATGACATCGTGGACATAGGGCTTACGATAGGGATATATGTATGCTTATTAGCACCCTTCATGGTAATCTTCATTGTTGGGCTTGTTCTCTATCGACTCTACCTCAGCCCCCTGGCTAAGTTCCCTGGTCCTCGGTTGGCTGCTGCGACGGGACTCTATGAATTTTACTATGATGTGATTCGTGATGGTCAATTCGTCTGGCACATCGAGCGCCTGCATCAGAAATATGGTCCGGTGGTGCGCATCAAGCCGTGGGAGATACATGTGAAAGACCCGGACAACTACAACACACTGTATGCGGGAGTGACGCGGAAGCGGAACAAGGACAGCTGGTTTACTTTCGTCGGATGGCCTACCTCGATATTCTCGACAAATGGACACGCGTTGCATCGCGCTCGACGAAGTGTGTTGGGGCAGTTTTTCAAAAGGCAAGCGATTCTGGATGTGGAGCCGCTGATTCAGAACAACATCCGGGCTTTATGTGGCCATTTTCGCCGCGCGCAGAGGGGAAACTATAGCTTAGAGCTCCATACCGCATTTCTGTGTTTTACGAGTGATACCATATCGCAGTATGCGTTTGGGAAACAAAACGGCTTTCGCACTCTGGATCAAGCAGAGCTGAGTACGGCTTCCAAAACGAAGACGGTTTGTACGTTTGAGTTTGTTCAAATAACAAGACATTTACCCTGGCTTTTCAAGCTGGCGCATGTCTTCCCTTGGCCGGCAAAACTCTTGAATGCGGACTTCGTTGAAGCCTTGACACAGGAAAGAGTAAGAAGGTTTCGCGTCTGCATTTGGAATCCTACAGCTAATTGGATGTATCAGGAAATTCAAAACATGGTTCGCAAGGCCATACAGGAACGTGGTAAGGGAAGCAGTGAGAAGCCTATGCCGGTTTATCCTGCGATTCTAGAGAATGATAGGGTACCTGAAGACGAGAAAAGGTTCTCCCGCCTGGCTGATGATGCGATTTTCCTGCTTCTGGCCGGGACCGATGCGCCAGGAAGGGCCTTGGTCATGGCTTTATATTTCATATTGCGGGACCCAGAGGTGCACGGAAAGCTTCGCGCTGAACTGTGTGCTTCTTGGCCAGATGCTTCCATGGATTTAGAGCTTATAGCATCGGAAAAGCTACCTTATTTCGTATGATTCTCTTTTCCGACCAAGGACCCCAGAGAGAACTGGCTACTAACCCTGCATCAGACTGCCGTGTTGAAGGAGGGACTTCGATTGGGCCCCGTCGTCAGCACACGTCTGCCACGTGTCGCACCGGATGAAATCTTGCAATTCCATGGATATGAAATTCCCCGCGGGGTAAGTCTAGATCTCTTCTCCAGCAGCCGAATGTTGGGCTAACGAGCGCGCAGGTTCCTGTGAGCATGACCGCTTTCTTCATCCTCCGTGATCCTAAAATCTTTCCCGAGCCATTGCGGTTCATCCCTGAGCGTTGGCTCTTGGAGCCAGAAGACTCACGAAAGTTGGAGCGGTACCTCGTCCCATTTTCCAGGGGGACCTTGGGATGTCTGGCTCCGAAGTAAGTTTGACACACGAAGAATACCTACTAGTGCAAACCGACACTAACTGAGAGTAGTATGGCCTGGGCATGGCTGTATTTGGTGCTCGGGACACTCCTGCGAAGATTCGAGATGAGACTGCACAACACGACGGAAGAGAATGTCGAGGTGACCCGGGATAAATTCCTAGGGCAGACGGAGCGCGGAAAGAATCGGGTTCAGATTAAGGTGGTGAGGGAGTATTCGTAAAGAAGATCGGGTTCGGTGTAGTGCCTGGGAGTTAAGGCCTTATATACTGAGAGCGCGTGTTGAAGAGCAGAGTGGGCTAAGGATGCGAGGAAGTATGTTTGACTCGCCGTCTCGACATCAGGTCAAGAAAATAATAACGGATAACCGGGATCGGCGGAGAGATTTTGAACTTGTAGTCGCGCTCTCGCATCAGGGCCTGCCACTGATAGAGTTATCAATGGACAACAAGATTTAGCATACATTCGATATTATGCATCAGTCAAAGCTAATCATGATATGTGCAGACCGCTATCAATGCCTATCAACTCCACATGGAACATTCATTTCTGCGATATTAGGATACGATGAGCTGGCGCGCAAAGAGGGTCGGTCTTCTCACATATGATACATGATATTGTCGGGTCCCACCACCAACAAACTCGCTTCCTGGACTGCATGCACGCCTTGGCCAACTTAGACTGGACTGTATGTAGTGCGATATCTAACCGAGTATATCCATATGATCATCAGGATAATGAAGGGGGAAATTCTGGTAAAAAAGAAAGCCCAACGCGGGGCTCGAACCCGCAGCCTTGAGATTAAGAGTCTCACGCTCTACCGATTGAGCTAGCCGGGCTAGTTCGGTGAAGGATTGTTTTGTAGTATGCTACATATTCCTTAGAGTGAAGACCAGGTAGGCAAAGGGATTTCTCCCTGTGCCAATTGAAGTAGTAGCCGCAAGCTTGGGCCTGTCACCTATTTCGTAACGACTGATTGTAGTAGTATGTGTATTTCCAACTATATTGACTCATAATAAGGCTTTTCACGGGTATAAATACGAATTCATGGTGCTATGTTTTTGGACGATGTGATCGGCGGACAGCTGGCTTACAGCGCAGGTCAATACTACTGAAATATATATCCAGTGCTGGTGATGTGATACCTCAGTCATTCTATGTCGTATCAAGTGACTTACCAGACTACTATGAGAGCTGAGTACAGCAGTAACCGGAAAGTCAATTCAAAAGATAACATTCATTAATTGAATGAGAAGAAAGAAGCCAAGGTGTAAGGAATTAAGTCCCTATAAGGATGGTTATCCACCTTCTCCCGGGATGTACCTGAGGGTATCAATCATAGCGCCAAGATCACCGGAAATCTGCTGTTACACGCTCACACCACTTCTCCAATCCTACCGCATTGCCCTCATCGCCCTTGCTCATTTCCTCAACCAGATCCCCCCGGGGACAGGGATGCCACCGGCCAAACGGAATAATATACCTGCCGCTATCCGCAGCCGTGACCTCTGAACTACAACCCGCCCAGAGCAGCGAGTTGGCACCCTCCCGAGCCGTGTAGAAGATGGGCTTGCACATCCACACCACCAGCTTGGGCGCATCGTCGTAAATGCCGGTGTACGCGTTGGCCGGATTGACCGTTACGCTAACCACAGCCTTTTCGTCTTTGCCAGCTGCAGCAGCGAACTTCTTGGCAAACCGATCCGCCAGGAACCAGTTGCCCGTTTTGCTGATCGCGTAGTTGCGGTACACGTTGCTCGAAGGGTTATCGAGTTCCTTGGCGGGCACGCCGCCGCGCGGCGCCAGGGTTTCGACGATCATGCTGCTCGACCAGATCACCCGCACGCTATCCGGGGGTGCATGGGCGGCGGTGCGGGTGAGGACATCTGACAGCAGAGTGGTGAGGAGGTAGGGCGCCGCACAGTTGATACCGAGCTGCGGCTCGAGGTTCTGGGCGGTGCGCTGCGTCAGGGGCTGCAATGCGACACCGGCATTGTTGAAGAGAAGGTCGAGACGTGATTCACGCTCTAGAAATTGGGTCACAAAGGGACCGATTGTGGTGAGATCTGAGAGATCAAGGGGCAGAAAGATAAGTTTGCCGGAAGCAGTGGGGTCTTCTGCTGTGAGGGCTTGGATGGTGGCCTGGGCTTTTTGTTCATTACGGGCGGCGATGTAGACAGTGGCGCCGGCGGAGTACAGAATGCGCGCCAATTCCAGGCCGATGCCGGCGGTGCTGCCGGTGATGATCACCACGCGATTGGATTGCGGAGGGAGGTTGGCTGAAGTGAGGGTCGGTTTGGCAGGGAAGGTTTGCGGCCAGACGCGGCGCAAGAGATTGAGGACCATGGTGTTTATCCCGAAGAGAGGAAAGTGGGCAAGCAGAGATGAGGAGGTGCGATGTTTTGGGGGAGAGAAGTGACGGGATTGAGGACATAAATAAGAAATAAAACCCTTGACTAGCTACACTAATGACTTAGTTTTAGTCCTTAAAGTCATGACCTGCGCATCACTGGTGGGTGGTTAGTCGTTTTACATGATATATCCCGCAATTCGTGTAATATACACCTAGGGTAACCATAACTTATCGGTTACACTCAGTTACAGCCCCCCGAACGGAATACATACATACATACAACATACATTACATACATACAGATCTTTGCTATCTTTCAACACACATAATGTACATCCATCCATCAGCCTCTTTCCCCAACAGTGGCATCCGCATTCTCCAGCAACCGACTCAAAATTCTCTCACACAAGGCACTTAGTGTCTTGGCCCCGACCACCTCCAACGTACTGACCACCACCTTCAGCTCCTGCCGCAGCCAGTTCCGAAAGTCCACCGCCGCCAGCGAGTCTAGTCCGTACACTGACAGCGGCTTCGCCGCCTCCATTGGCTCCGCCAGCCCTAAACTGTGCATGAAGTGCCGATTGACCACCTCGATTGTGGCCGCCAGCTGCTCTGACCGATCCGCTGTCGACGTCTGCAGCAGCATGAGCAGCGTCTGCATCTCCTGCGACAAACCGCCGTGCTTCCCCGCCGCCGTCGCCGCACTCCCTTCTTTCGCCGCTAGTGCCCCGAACCGCGCATCGCGCAACAGCATTGCGCCCTCAGGCTGGGGAAAAGGGATGCCTGTGATGATCTGAGCTGTGGCTGTCGGGTTTTCCCTAGCTTGCACGTTATGCTGATCCAGAATCGACGCCCGCAGAATCCGATGCAAGAGGGCCTCATTGATCGGCGTCCAGATGTTGATGTCCAGCCGGGTGGCAATCTCCTGGCGCTCGCTGATGTAGCCGACGTCCTCAATAACGCCCAGGTCCACAGCGCAAGCTGCCAGCCCCCGATCGCGCCGGTACGTGGCGAAAGCGTCCTGGAACGCACCGGCCGCCGCGTAGTTGGCCTGGCCCTTCTGGCCCACCAGTCCGGAAATGCTGGAAAGGAGAGTGAAGAAATCCAGGTCAACGCCGCCCTGCTCCTGGGCGACCGCGTGAAGATTCCACGTGCCGGAAACTTTGCAGGGGAGGACGTCGCGGAAGCCGTCGACTGTCATGGAGGTGTATATCTTGTCCTATATGGAGTACAGGGGTTAGTATAGTGGACGTTGGTTGGGAGGGGGGCAAATGGCTGTGAGTTCAAGGGCTCAGTCACTTGCAAATAGCTATATCCATACCTTCAAAACCATTGCACCCTGAATGATCCCTCTCACTGGTTTCACGGCTTGTCGGAACGCACGCCGCACATCCTTGAGGCACGAGACGTCGCCCTGCACCAGCTCGACGCGAGTTCCCAAGGAGATGAGGTCGCGGATTACGCTGCGTGACCGTGAATCCTCGAAGCCACTGCGGGACATCACAGCAAGGTGCTTGGCTCCGTGGCAGGCGAGGTAGACGGCCAGACTGCCGCATAGGCCGCGGAGCCCTCCCACGATGAGGTAGGTGGCATCGTCGCGTAACTGAAGCTGCGTGGGTGCAGGCACAATCTGTTCCTGGGGTGTCAGTGGTCACCCGTAATCGAAAGATGAGGAAAAATGATGGGATTTGGTGTACTTACCGGCACGTTGGGATCGTTGTCCGGCGCCTCCCGCGAGATAATGATCTTTCCTATATGTTCGCCTCCTCGCATGTACCGGATGGCCCCGGCGATGTCCCGGTAGGGGAAGACAGTGCGGGGCTCGATGGGCCTGATACTGCCAGAAGCAAGCAGCTCAAACATCTTGGTCATGAGTCTAATAACCGAGCGTGAGGTTAGTGGATTGCTGATCTTCAACATGACCTTAACTGTGGGAAGGAGGTTGGACTTACTGCTCCGTGATCTGTGGCGTCACACTGTCATGCGACATATCCAACGCGCGATAGGAGGCGTTGCGATTGAAGGGCTCCATGGATAACGAACGCCGGCCAAGGATATCCTTCTTGCCAAGCTCGACGAGACACCCGCCGGCCGCGACAATGCGCCACGACTCGTCCAGCAGTCGGCCGGTCAGTGTATTCAGGATGACGTCCACGCCACGGCCGCGTGTTGCCTCCCAAATGCGCGGCGCAAAGGCCGCCGTCCGCGAGGAGTATATACGCTCCGGTGGGATGTTATACTGCTGGGTCAGCACTGCGCGTTTTGCGTCGTTACCCACTGTGGCATAGATGTCGGCACCCATGGCCTGGCAGATCTGAATGGCGGCCTGCCCGACGCCGCCAGCTGCGGAGTGGATAAGCACAGACTGGCCGCGCTGGAGGTTGGCCAGGTCGAAGAGGCCGCGGATCACGGACAAGTAGACGACCGGCAAGGAAGCAGCTTCCTCGAAGCTCATGCTGTCTGGGATGGCGTGCGCGCCCTGCACGGGGCATTGGACCTTGTTTCCAAAGCTACCACGGCGGTTGACGAGGACTCGCTGTCCGACGCGAAACGAGGTGACTCCCTTACCAAGCCGGCAGATCACACCAGCGCCCTCGAGGCCCAAGAGGTAAGGATTCTCAGGCACGATCCCCAAGCAAGTCGCCACATCCTTGAAGTTAAGCCCCGCCGCATGCATCTCGACTTCAATGAAGTCATCTGGGAGAGGGACGGGGGAGCTGGAGACTTCGGCGAAGCAGAGCGATTGGAGCTTGCCCGGTTGTCGGCAGACCAGTCGCACACACGAGGGATGTTCGTGAAGGTTCTGGGTCTGCTGGGCTGGCGGGAGGGCGGCGGCGGTGGTGATGGCGTCTTCTTTTTCGGCGTCTGCGTTCATCTGTGTGTCTGGGTAGACCCTGCTGACGTGCACCACCCCATCGCGCTCGACGAATTCGTGGTCCTGCGTCTGATGGCCCTGCTGAAGGGAGAGAATGGTCCGGCAGATTGCTTCCAGGGAGCCAGTGCTGACGGCGGATTCGACATCCAGCAGAGTGAAGTTCACGCAGGGGTCTTCGGCACGGATGACCCTTGACATGCCGTAGGCCAGGGAGCGATCTGGATGTGTCACATCTAGTTGGGCGCCGCTTGTCACCCACAAAATCTTACAGCCCGACGCAGTGAGGTGCTGAATTGCCTGCCATTGTATGGGTGTTACCTCACTCAGGGTCGCCGAATAAACCTCGTCCACGATCACAACGACTGAGCTGGGCGCGATAGCCGCAGCGGGAAGGGGGAGGCGTTGCTCGCTCGGCGCTTTCCCGGCGATGGCCAGCTGTTTTACTAGTGGCTTATCCTCCGGGGTGAGATGAAGTACTGTTACCTCTGAAGTCGTCGCAAGCGGAGGGGAGACAATGGTCTTGTCCGATGAAAGCTGAGCGAGAAATACCGTGTCCTCTGACAAGATTTCCGGTGCAAGGGGAACCACTCGCTCGAAGCCTTGGCCACGCAGTAAGTCAAGAATCTGGGACGATGAACCTCCGACCATCGACCAGTCCGAGCTGCCAGAATCGCTGTCCTCACCGCTGATGACTGACGCGCTGCCCGTTTCCTCCGTAATATCGACCAGGGACGTTCCTAAAACCAACAGATATGCTGTCGGTGTCATGGCCCGCCTGACATTAGCCAGCGCATTCGTCAAGTCAGCGCTAGAGACGGGCCCCAGCTGAAGGATCGCCAAATCAAGCATGTCAGGTAGCATGGACAGATCTACATCAGGCTTGGTCACATCGAGCATGTTCATCTGAGCCTGAGGGTACGTTTCCGACAGCAAAGCCTGCGAGGCACGCAGCGAAGCCAGATTTTTCGGCATGAACTGGTATTTGCAATTTCCCTCGCCGAGGGACAGATCGCCGTCGAACATATCCCGCCCGACACTTTCCTCAAATGGCAGCGTGCTGAACTCCACCACTTGAAGGGAATGCTTCTCGTGAAGAAGGAGCTCCATAAGGGTCCACTGCTTTTGTGATGGCGATGATGGATCGTGTTGTGGCCTGGGCTTTTGCAGCGAACGACGAGCCTGAATCAGGGTACGCATCTGCCCGTCGCTCAAGGTGGACATCTGCGGCTTCCAGTGCAAACGCATGAAGGTATGCTGCCTTTCAGGGGACTCGGGGCTAGCGTCGAGTTTGTGGTACCACAAGCCCGTGACCTTAAGCAGTAGCCGTTTACTGGCCGGGTCAAAGACCTGTATATGTGAATGGTAGTTGTGGGCTTCCTCGGGGCTGCCCACTCCAGAGAACTCAGCTGAGGCTGCTGCAACCGCAACTGGCACTGCCGCAACGTCCCGGGCGTTGATGAGAAGATCATCTATCACGGCAGGCACCAGAGCACCGCCCACAGCGCTGCGGATGCCCTGCCACAGCGAGGCAGCTCCGGACTGAAGACAGCCATCGATCGCCACGGGGTGGATTGAGTAAGGCGACTGAGGGTAAGAAGACGGGGGCTCTGAAAAGGAAACCAAGCCTCGGTTGGTTCGCTGACCGGCCACGGCCTCGACCTCCAGTTGTGACTGGAACGAAGGGCCAAATGAGTACCCGACATCCCGGAGGGCCTTGTACCAGGCTTGTGCGGGCATGGGGTATTCTAATGGCTTAATAGCCTCCCAAGGAGCATCTAAGATGGATGGCAGAAGAGGGTTAGAAATGCGACCGTCGAACATCAGATATAGATGTATATGTATATGTAAACAGGGAAAACTTCAGAAACAAACGAGTAAACATACCTTCATCGTAAGGAGTCTCTAGCATGATCATACCAGAGCAATGGCGGGTCGTGGTAGCGTCCTCATGTAGCGTTAATACAGTAAAATGGTGCCACGAATCCGCGCGTTCGTCTTCAGGGGTAAGGGTGAGCATGATGCGCTGGTCAGTGCCCTCCTCCAGGACCATCGCTTTCATGAAGGTGACATTGCGAAGCCGGTACGCCACGTTATGAACCTGCAAGGTTTGGTCGATGAACCCTCGCGATTGACCCATCTGGAAGGCTGCCTCGACCGCCATGGCGATGTAGCCCGCTGCCGGGAAAAGCACCTGACCCCCGATTCGGTGGTCCAACAACCAAGTAAGCTCAGGCAGGCGCAGTAGCTTCTTCCACACCGGGGCCGTCCATGGGGTCCCTAGGACCTTGCCACCGAGCAGATCGTGGTTTGGGTATCGGCGGAAGCGCCAATCCCGGCTGGCCTGGCTTTCCCACCAGTACTTAGTTGCATGGTTCCACATATAGTTCGGGAGATCAACAAGAACCGCAGGTTTGCTGTCGCGGGCACTTTCGGCCCGGGCTGTGGTATTGACTTGATTGATATTGATCGGGCCGTCAGCCAGGAAAAGCCGTCCAGCCACGTCGAACAATGCAGTTGGCTCGAAAGAGTTTCGTCTGCAGGCGGCGTGGTATTCAATGCCAGCACCATTGGATGGCAATGCTTTGAGTATCTGCTTGACGGGTCCAGCCAGGGCCCCGCTGGGTCCTACTTCGATGAGGAAATCCACAGGATCCGCATCGGTCAGCATAGCTTCTACTGCCTCGCTGAAGTGCACTGGTAACCTCATATTCGCTTCCCAATACGCGTTGTCCACGGAACCCTGCATCTCGCACCCTGTGACGGATGAAAAAAACTTAGCACCGCGGCGCCGCGGCGAAGCTGGAGACGACGAATCCGGCTCCCTAGCATCTAGCAAGCTTTTGTAGTGGGCTGCAATGTCAGCCATAAAGGGAGAATGGTACGGCAGGTCCACCTGCAGCAGACGCGCAAAATGGCCGTGCTCATGGAGCTGGTGGCACACGGTCTCAAGAGCTGAAACGTGGCCCGATAGAGTCACGCTTTGCGGAGAGTTGATACAGGCCAGAGCAACGGCCCCAGAGTGACGCTGGAGAATCTGCTGTAGGAGAGGGCTCGTATCGCTTAGACCCGCCGCCATCATCCCCAGCTTCGGTCGCGAGTTATCCCGCAGATCTACAGCGGCTTTGCCGCGGTAATATGCAATCTGGATTGCGTCTTCAGGTTCCAGCAAGCCAGCCGCGACGGCAGCAGCAATCTCGCCGGACGAGTGACCAACCACACTGGCGGGTTGAACGCACCAGGTTTTGAGAAGATCGATAATCAGCAATTGAAGGGCTGTCACCAGTGGTTGAGAGAGCTCTGGTTGGCGCACATGATCCGATGATCGGGGACACGTCAACTCATCTAGGAAGGGTTAGTCTGGCCATATAAAGCGACTCCTGGCTCTGGATGACCCGCTAGCCGGGCCATTCTGCAAGGCACGAAAACTAGACATACCATACAAGCTCCACTGGGGAGGATGGGGAAGTGTCTGTAGCACTGCGTCCAATTGCCGCAGCAGTCGTTGGGAAGACGGGAACGTGTCGACCAGGGCCTTCCCCATCTGCGGCCATTGAGATCCCTGACCGGTGAAGATAAAGCCTACTTTTGGGACGTTGGACCGTAGCTTACCGTAGATCAGGGCATGCTGATCGACTGTGGGGGTATTAGAGACGAGATATGCGCGGTGGAAGTGACGAGTCCGCCGTTCCGACAAGGTGTAGGCGAGGTCCGGTAATGAGACTCGTACTTCCGGCCTGACCAGGTGCATCTGCAGGCGCTGTACCGTTGCTTTCAGCGAGGCCTCGTCGTTGGCCGAAAATACCAGCAGGTGGAAGCTTTCCTGCTCCTGATCCGCAAACAAATCGTCGTCATCTGTCAGGTATGACGATTTGAATGAGACCTCTGATGGAGGCACCGACGTACCAGCCTCATCCAGGATGACATGGACATTGGACCCGCCATATCCATAGGAGTTGACACTGGCACGACGAAACGGCACATCTGGCCATTGGATCGTTCGCTGAAAGGCACGAGTTTTGAGGGCCTCGAAGTTAACTGAACTCAATGTTAGCTGGACCCCGAAGCAGTAAATTCCAATGCCAGAATAAAACCAAGGGTTTGATTTCAAAGAGCGCCGCCAAACTTACTAGCCGGGTTGGGTGTCTCGAAAGTAGGGTTGCCGGGGATACAGCCCTTTTCCAGGCTCATTATCGTTTTGATTAACCCAGAGAGTCCTGCAGCTGGCTCTGAGTGACCGACATTACTTTTGATCTAAGCAACCACCAGCGGTTAGCCGTTGTCGAATACAGATACTGTAGCCAGACTTACTGAGCCGATGAGTAGGGGCCGCTCTGCCGTGCGGGTGGCACAAAAGACAGAGGCTACACTGTTGACTTCAATCGGGTCCCCCGCGCGAGTGCCCGTACCATGACACTCAACATAACTTGTGTCATTGAGGTTAGAGATGCCTGCATTCCGGTACGCCTGTCTGGTCGCGGCGGCCTGCGCCTCGGGGCTGGGACTAGCGATGCCGGCGGTCCAGCCGTCACTGTTCGTGGCGGATCCCCGCACAATGGCGCGGATGGGGTCGTTCTGGCGCAGGGCATCGGGTAAGCGCTTGAGAATGACCATGTTGACTGCTTCAGCCTTGATGTAACCGTCGGCTTTGGCGTCGAAGGTATGGCACCGGCCCGAGGGCGAGGCGGCACCTGACAGATTGCTCATGTCGATGCAGTGCTCGGGACTCATGTACAGATTGCAGCCGGCTACAATGGCAGTATCAATCTCGCCGGTCTGCAAGTATCGAGCGGCAATGTCGAGACTGACTAAACTGCCGGAGCAGGCTGTATCAATGGTCATACTGCGTTGAAAGTCGGTCAGTTACACCCGTACACATCCTTCCTTGGCTTTCCAGTTTCCTCCCTGCTCGTAACCGTGCGACCAGGGTTGCGACGACTCACCTCGGCCCCTTGATGTTCAGAAAATGGCTCAGCCGGTTGCTGAGCATGGCACGCCCAACACCAACCGTGGCATTGGGGACGCGGTCCTCCGGGTCTCTACCCTGCATATCACCCCAGTCTGAATACGAGTGGAGTCAGCAACTCATGTAATAACGGACGTTACGATGCTTCCACGCTTGAGAGGTGTCGGTGAAATAGTGCTTACCGGACGCATACGAGCCCACGAAGCAGCCCACGGGCTGATTCCGGAGAGACTCTAATGTGATACCAGCATTTTCCAGCCCTTCGTATACGACTTCGAGCAACTGCCGTTGCTGAGGATCCATGGCGGTGGCCTCGGCCCGTGAGAGACCAAAGAACTGAGCATCAATGTCAGCGGGGTCGATGTTCTCTAGGAACATGCCTCCAGGAGAGCGCATAGTGCGGATGCGCTTGGTGCCATCCTCATGGCCGTGGAGATTGAAGCGAGAGGATGGGGGCTCGGTGCTAGCGATGCCGCCTTGTTCGAGGAAACGCCAGAGAGCGGTGGGAGAGTTGCTATTGCCGGGAAGGCGACAAGCCATTCCCACCACTGCTAGTGGTTGTTGTGGAGACTGTGTGGTCTGCATTATGAGAAATTAAGAAAAGGATAAGTCCGACGTTGAAAACATCTCCCGCGAAATGGATATTGCATGCATGGCATAGCAATTGCCCCTTTATATAACATTTGACATGCCTTGATATAGTTGTATTAATTCGACGAGAAGATACCAAGATAATCCTTACTGTAATGTAATGACGAATGTAATGTTATTACTGTGTAATACTCTTGAACGGAAACCGGGTATTGCTCTGACATTCCCATTAGTACGATTCTTCTAGACCTAGTTTGTAGACCACTAATAAGTGAGTAGCATGATCGAAAACCTTGGTTTACAGTCCACCGTATCAAAAGAGGAAAGACAAATACAAATGGCCCCCAAACTGCACCCCAGCCGCTGCCAAATAGCCTAGCTGTGGGTCCATGGTTGCAGAAGGGACCGTGGGCCAAGATACTAGTATTTAGTGCTGACAGCTCCATTCTATTGATCCTCTGCGGGTGTCCCTTTTCATTGAGACACTCCACATGTGCTAGAGTTGAATGGCATGTTATTTCGTTCACATTCAGCTTAACTCGAAGAGGAGAGAGAAAAGAAAATGGCCCCCAACTGGCCCCCAAACGGCCTTCAAAAACGGCCCTCACCCCCCCACCGCAGGTTGATCAAAGCACTGCTCCATAGAGAGTCACTAATGTCTTATGCGGTTGCTGTCTCGCCGGCTGCTGCTGTTTAGTCGGGGTAGGGACCCGCAGTGAGGGAGTAAAAAGAGACGGGAGGATGATAACGACCGTACAACACTTGTGCTAGCTTCTCCAACCATTGACAGTTGGTCTTGGTCTCACCCGCATCTCCTAGTACCTTGGCTCACCCAATGGACCTATTGGATAGCACGCTATATTACACTGCCTCTGATACCATTATATCTCAATAATCTATGGGAAAAAAAATACGCGAACTGACTAACTATTTAGAAAGCTCCATAGTTTACTAGTTGCTTACAACGTTTGTTTCCCCTGGAACAGAGCTCAAGGAGTCTGACACTACGCCCATCATTCTCAAATAGAAGAATAACTCCCTCACCTTTCCCCATTGCCACAACGAGCAAAATCAATAGCCCAGAATGACCCTACCAGAAGAATCCGTTTCCTTTCCCACGCTGGATGGCGTCACCCTCCGCGGCAGCCTGTATCCCGCGCCAACCCGCGGACCGGCCATCATCATGACTCCAGGAGTAAGCACTGATCTGCCCTGCCATCTGCCTTGCCTACGTGAACTAAGCCTATCCAAAAGTTCAACTCCCTCCCTAGCATGCTAGGCCTCCCGGACGTGGCGCACTACTTCCACCTGCACGGCTACACGGTGCTTCTCTACTCACCTCGCAACACCGGTGCCAGCGACGGCAGCCCGCGCCATGAGATTGACCCGTCCCAGCAGACCTCTGACTACAGCGACGCCGTCAGCTTTCTGTCGACACATGAACGGGTCGACCCAGCAGAGATCTTCATCTGGGGTATCTCGTTCTCAGCCAGCGTGGCGTTGTGCACCGCGGCGCTGGACAAGCGCATCCGCGCCGTCATCGCCGTCGCACCGCTAACGGCCTTCACTCTCCCTCCAGACAAGCAACCTCAAGTGCTGTCGCGGTGCATGCAGGATCGCACTGCCCAATTGCACGGGAATGAGCCCTTCTATCTCCCCATGCTGCGCAAGGACGGCACCAACCCTGCCGGGTTCGGCACGGGCATCGACCGTGAGCGATACGGGCGCCTTGTCACCGCCGGCCGCGAGCTGGCCCCGGGACATGTCAATCGCACGACTATTCAGAGTTACTACAAGCTGATCATGTGGCAGCCGTTCCCTCTATGGGAGACCATGGTGGCTCCAACGCCATGCCTGTGGGTGATCCCCGAGCTGGATCAGCTAAGTCCGGCGGAGCGCCAACGACATTACTTCGACAAGATGAAAGGGGAATCCAAACAGATGTGGCTGCAAGAAGGTGTCGGGCATATGGATGTGGTGCAGGGGGAGCATTTGGAGGGGTTGATGGGGGTAATGTTCCGGTTCTTGGAGAATGTCATTCAGGGGACACTATAAGAAAAATTACGATTGATGATTTCCTTATCCTTAGGTACGTTAAAGCTAGTGTACTGCCCCTCCACATGTATTAGCAACCGAAGATGGTATATATTCTGAATAGTATGATACCCAACTAACTTTCGATATGTAACTTACGAGATGAATCTTATAGGAGATATATATAGTCATGTATAAAGCTGCGCAGGAAGTCTGAATTTGCAAATACTAAAATTATGACCGATATACTTGCTATCTCTTGATGTCATTATGTAGCACTCTGTCAGTGACATTCAAAGTTCGTATTCAGTTGCTTTTATCATCCTTAGAACAGGCCGAATGAATGTTGATACCGATCTTGTTTATCTTGTGAAGAAATACATATACCAACAGAACAAAGAAATATCTGCAGTCTATCTTTATGATGAACTACTAACTTGACACAAATGAGCAGTACAAAACTTGACTACTTATGGAAAAACTCGAACCGTAGCAACATGACGTAAAAGCCTGCCACAGAGCTGCCCGCCATAGTGGTTCACATAAGGTGAAAGGAAAAATTGATGGTGGCTTGACATTATAGGCACTGGCATATATAGTGTAATTCTTCAAGTGCATCAATTTAGATTGACCAATCATGGCCGAGGTTCTGGTTGATGATTGACAGTTATATGTATCCAGATATGTATATATTTGTGTAGCAGTCTATTCTCTCACCCCCTTAACCTGCAATCGCACCCCCTTGCTGCCTGGTGCAACGTCCATTCCCACCATATCCCTATAGCAGTCTACATCCCGTCGCGTTGTCTCGTACAGCTCGAAGTCCAACCGCCGGAATAGCCCTGCCAGCATGATTGTCATCAACGCGTATGCCAGGTTGAACCCAATACACATGCGGGTGCCGCGGCCAAACGCCGTCAGGTAGCGGGACAAATTCTTCTGGCCATCCGGCCCGCGCGGATTGCCCAGCCAACGCTCAGGCTTGTAGGAAGTGCTGTCCGGGAAGATAGCTTCATCGTTGTGGGTATGGTAGGTGTCCATGCTAACCATGACATGGGGTGGGATGGTCCAATTTTTGTACTGGATGGGTCCATCACGGGCAATACGCTGCGAGCGCATCGTGACGCCGTAGGAGAGGCGGATGCCTTCCTGTATGCAAGCGGACAGGTATGGGAGTCGCTCCAGCTCATTCAAGGGTAGCGGCTGCGCAGGGTCGGGCATGGCGGCCGTCAGCTCAGCCTGCAGACGCGCAAGGATAGGTGGGTTGGCCAAGATGTGGTAGACAGTCACCAAGTTGGCCATCTTGGTAGTTTCAATGCCAGCGCCCACGATACCGACGCCCTCATCGCGCAGGCGTGGAAATGAGGTCTCCTCGACGCGGTTGGCCAGCTCCGCCGAATGCAGCATCTCAAAAAAGACGGTGCCACGCTGGTTGAGGTCATGGCGCCCTCGCATATGGTTGTCGCGCACCTGACGGACATGTTCGCTAATCTCCTCCTTGAAGCGTGCGATCGCTTTCATGTCGGGATTGATCAGGCCGACCACCGACGGTGGTAAGGACTGCGCCAGCGCTCCAATAATGGGGAACTGCTGCGCAATATGCACAAAGTCCTTCAGCCCCTGAATCGCCCGTGTGAACGCTGAGGTGAAGTCAGGCCGCGACAGGAAGTTGTAGCTGCGGTTGAACGCGTAGGTCATGATTACGTCGGCCCCGTAGCTACTGAACAGGTCGTTGGTACAAACAATCCGATCTGTGCCCGCATACTCGGTAGCTAATCGGTGTGTGATGCGGTCCACGTGGGACTGAATCATAGGCGCTTGCTCATAGGTGCGCCGCTTGGAGAAGAAAGGAACGATGGCAGCCCGCCGGCGCTTGTGCAGACTGTGCTCCGGCGTTGAGAAGGAGGCCAACGGGCTACCAAAACGGTTCTGCACGTGCGGCGATTTGTCCAGCCCCCGTTGTGAGGTGTAAAGGGTCTCATAGTACTCTGAATCGTGGATGTGCAGCTCTGTGGGACTAATGCGCACAATGGGGCCTATATTATTGAGTTAGAAACAGTTGGACACAGTATCTCGCAGACGAATAGTCCGAGGCCATGGGTTACTTACCATACTTGTCATGCAGCTCGCGGATGTGGAATGTGAATTGCCCTCCTCCTTTTTTGATTAACTCAAAGTAAGCCTCATACCATCCGGTGGCCGCAGCCAGTTTGGGCCCTGGGAAGGGAGCCAAAGGACTCCACCACAGACGATAAACTACCAAGCCGGTAAGATAGAGCAGACAGCCGGTGACAGCTAGTGCCAAAAGGTTCATCTTGTGGATTTTCACAATGTGGAAGAGTGTAGGAGAAAGGAAGGAGACGAAGATGCAGGAGAGTCACGTCGGTGGTTGAAGGTCCGGCAAAGTGAAAATGTTGGATGCGGTCAACCTAATAATATAAGTTCATGGCCTACATCCAGTTACCATACTAATGCAGGTCGTCCTAATCAAATACTAGTTCCATCCATCTTATTAGGGTATTCATTATGTAAGCTTATCGATTACAAGATCGTCTATGTACCGTACTGAAATACAGATACAAGATACTAATGGTAAGATACTGGCGGACGGCGTGAGACAGAAAGTAATATCAAACTAGTTATTGTAAGGCTTACTCCTCCTCATCACTGCCTCCTCTAGGCACAATTCAGTGTGACGGACGTAAGCCGAGCCGGCCTGCAGCGGACTAAAGCACACAGCCTTGGTTCAGTTACGCGATGGTTTCCGCCCCATTTCAATGTTCCAGGTATCGACCACGTAGATATTCTCTTCATCGGTCCTCCCCGCTGGTAGGTCTCCATGTTCGCTCGTCACCGTTGTCCGGTGCAGCTTCGATGTAGAGTCCATACTGGCATTGAGACGCTGGAAGTCCTTGTAGTTACGGGTGCTGGAAGCGGTCGTTGTATTGGGTTCGATGCTCGAGTGGTCAGCCGACTTACCCGTCGTGCTGCCGCCGCGCAGTCGGCGCACGCTGCTAGAGGAAGTGGCCAGGGTCGAAAACTTCTCCATTGCCGGTCGCAACGTAGGAAGACATGCAAGGATCGCTCCAAGCAGGGTCTCCAGGATCATGAATGTGCACAGCGTGGTGGTTGAGTAGGTCAAGTCTGTGCCCATCAAGTCATTGATGAGGGTGATACGGCAGATGGTGATGATGCAAATCCTACGTATGATTAATCCACGTAAGATACGGCGAGAGGAAACCATGAGACTGAGTAAAGTGACTTACGCGATTCCCAGCGCGAACATGCACGATAAACTGATCTTCCGACGCAACTTCAACTGGAGCGTCCATAGGACTGGAATTGGTAGCAGGCCGACCATGACATCGAAGATCAGATTGGTGATGTGCAGTGACAAGTAGGCGCCTTCCTTGCTGCCACAGTGGCCCTTTGCCGTGGCATCCCAGTTCAGCTGAATCGGCTGGCAGAGAAGCAATGAGGCGAGGATCACGCCAATGCACCAGATCACCTGCAAGGCGATCATGGCATAACAGCATCGGATGAAGGTCTTGCGCCGGAAGATGCTGATGTAGAGTAGGAGGATCGAGATCTTGACTCCACTGATGGCAACTCCCCAGATGGGCGAGATGGCAAGGTAGATCTGGGGTGTGACCATCACAGGTCAACCAGTGATCCAAGCTGAAGGATTGCTGATGGATCTCACCTTGGCAAACCTGACTAACTGCACCGTCGGATTAGACAGTTCAGTGATATGTTGACCGAGACCTCCCAAGACGGTGGCTGTGTGAAGGGAAATTGCCTTGTTAGATTCGAGCGCTGGAGGAGAGCATAGGAGTATAGGCATCCACCCGTACCTAGAATGAGACAGATCACTAGACCGGTTGAAAAGATCTAGATTGCCACAGGATGTCAGTATGCTTTGCTGGGCAATATGATGCAGTCTAGTCAAGGGACTTACCAAGGCGACCAGAATAGCGAAATCATGAGCCGCGGTGCTCACTCGCTTCAGTCGGTGTGAGTAGAAACGCAGCCCCACAGCAAGAATAGCCAGCACCTCGAGAACAAGCGAAACTACCACGGGGGCGACTGCCCGGGGGAAATCAGTCCATGAGGAAGGTGCAGCAGCGGCCATGATTGCTTCTCTGTCTCTCGTCCCAAGTGTGTCTTGACAGAAAGACGAAAAACGTGGGGTGGACACGTCAAATATTCAGTAAGCAGTGGATCGAGAGGATTCAAATATCCGGCCTGGTCAGCCTTGGAAGGAAGTCCCGAAGGGAAATGTGAAGAAAGGTACACCAAATGAGGGACAGGAGTGAGGGGGGCCGTTTGCACCGCGGGAGGGGCTGGTTGAAGCCTGGACGATAGCCAAGTCAGCTCTAACTCTGACAGGGAGCCATATCGGGCCATAATATTATAGGAGGTGTATGGGGATGTGTGAGTGGTCAAGAGTGATTATGCATGATGAGGACTAGACAGGGACGGCACGTTGTCGGAGGTTACCATATGTGCATACATTGGGGGCTGTGTGCAGAATGGGACTGCCGTATTGGGGGCTGAATTGTCGGACGAGGTGGATGCAATGCAGGCCAGACCCTTATCTTCGAGGTAAGACTCATACACATGCCAGATCGATCCCCGGCTATGCAACGCAAATGAGCCTGTAGCCCCGACAAGCTGACACTCGCCCTACATTGCAAGTCATTTTCGCCCCCATACGCTAGTAGGGTCAGGGTCTGCAGCCTTGCTAGAATCCCCAGTATTGTCAGTATTGTCAGTATTTTTGGTATTTTTGGTATTATTTGTACTGTCAGTATCGTCAGTATCATCAGTATCATCAGTATCGTCAGCAGTGGCCGGTCATATGGTAGTAGTACTCAATATACCGCGAAATAATTGGTCAACATGTCAAGTGGCTCCAGGTTGATTGTCATTGACAAGAGGCAGGAACACGGCTTGGACTCGGCAATTAGTAGTAGTGGTGCTAGGGTTGATAGTATCGCTGAAACCACATAAATACAGAGTCATGAGAAGCAAACCTCTGTCAAAGCATCCTTCCTCTACCCCCAAGCCCTCCTCCTACTGCCATGGTCCGTTCCCTTCATTGGCTAGCCACTTCGGCTGGGCTGGCTTTGTTGCCCTTCAGTCAAGCCATTCCCGCTCTAGTTCAGGGGTCTTCGACATGTCGCTACCTCCCGGGCGACTCCGAATGGCCATCGGCTGCGGACTGGCACCAGTTGAATACCACTGTGGGCGGCCGACTCAGCGCGACGGTTCCTTTGGGGGCGCCTTGTCATGAACCACATTATGATGCTGCCCAGTGCGCGTACTTGGCGGCGGAGTGGATCTATCCGGAGCTGCACGCAAATTCCTCCTCCTCTTTCAGCAATCCTTATTTTCAAAATCAGAGTTGTGATCCCTTTACCTCCAAAACGAGTCCCTGCCTTTTGGGTAACTACCCGGACTATACCATCGATGTCCGCGGTGCCGCTGATGCAGCGGCCGGGGTTACGTTTGCTCGCGAGCATAACATCCGGCTGGTCATCAAGAACACCGGTCATGAGTAGGTTCTCCCCTTCTGATTTGAATGTGTGACGGACATTAACTCCATGCCAATAGTCTTTTGGGTCGATCATCTGGTAAAGGTTCGCTTGGTCTATGGACTCATCACATGAAGAACATTTCTATCCTGGACTATCACCACCCACGCTACACCGGGAAGGCCATGAAGATGGGGGCGGGAGTGCAAGGTTTTGATGCCTATGCAGCAGCTCACAAGGCAGGCCTTCGTGTGGTTGGTGGAACGTGCTCCACGGTGGGACTGGCAGGAGGATATACGCAAGGCGGCGGACACTCGATGCTTTCCACCCTGTACGGACTGAGCGCGGACCAGGTGCTGGAATGGGAGGTGGTCCTGGCAGACGGACGGCACGTCGTCGCCACGCCAACTGACTACCCTGATCTCTACTGGGCCCTCTCTGGGGGCGGTGGGGGCACCTACGCGGTGGTCCTTTCCATGACAGTCAAAGCCCATGCCGATGGGATCGTGACAGGGGCCAGCGTGACGGTGACACAGACCAACTCCAGCGATGCTTTCTGGGAGGCTGTCACTGCCTTTCACACGGCAATGCCTGCGTGGATCGCGAAGGGAGCAGCCACCGCCTATGTGATAATGGACGGCAGCCTGTACCTTATGCCGGCGACATTCCCGGGCTACAACGCGAGCGAGGTAAACGGCTTCATGCAGCCATTTGTGGCCCAGCTGCAGCGGCTAGCCGTCAACTACACGATTTCGGTGAACTCATTTGATAATTACTACACCTTCTTCGACACCTTCTTTGGCCCCTTACCCGATGGCTCCTACACCAATGCACAGGTCCAGGGCGGCCGGCTGATTCCACGCGAGGTGCTAATGTCGGCGGACTCCAACCGCGCCCTGACGGCGGCGCTGCGCGAGATCAGCTCCAACCGGGCATTCCGAATCATTGGCGTGGGCACAGACGTATCGCGTGGAAGCGATGTACCCAACGCGGTCTTCCCCGGCTGGCGTAAGGCCATTACCTGGATCGAATTAACAGCCGACTGGGACTTTACGCAGAGCTATGCCACCAACGTCGCAAACGAGACGCTGATCACAAACCATTACGATCCGCTGCTGACGCAGGTGACGGGTCTGGCGAACAACAGTGGGGCATACCTAAACGAAGGCGACTTCCGGCAGAAGGACTTCCAGACGCAATTCTTTGGGGGCAATTATGCCTCGCTAAAGCAGGTTAAACGCCGATACGACCCCGAGGGGGTGTTCTATGGCACCGCCCTGGTAGGCAGTGATGATTGGGAGGTCGCCAGTGATGGGCGCTTGTGCCGGAATAGCGAGAGTAACTGAGAGATGGACAGGCAACCTTGTAATCACCATATGATGCTAATAGCCTAATAGACCTAATGCAGTGGGGTGGTGATATGATATAGTATTTATCTACCACTTAAAATAGATCTCTGCGGCGGTTCCTTCCGCTGGCCAAAATACAATACAATTCAATACCACCTGTACGAACAATACGAACCCTATGTATGCCCTCTGTATCCGCCCCCAAACCCCCAAGAATCACTAGTAATAAGTATCACCTAACAGTCAACTCTCCGATGCAGGGAAGAGGGGCTAAGTACAAGTGGGCCGCGAAATTGAATCTCACCCAGGGTCTCAATACCAATCCTTTGGTCTAGTAATCATTCCTCGGTTCGCAGTTTATTTTACTTTATTTGATCCAAGTGTTGTCCACCCATCTCACATCCACACTACAAGAAGAAAAGTTATCTACCAATACTACAGCAGATGTCTCTCCCTCCTCTTATTCAGGGCCACTGCGCCCCTCCCTTCTCGCCTCTCCGCAATACCCTGACTGAGAATCTGCAAGCCGGGGAGGAGCTAGGCTTCAGCCTCAGCGTGACCGTCGGCAACGAAACGGTGGTCGATCTCTGGGGCGGATATGCCGACGCTGCGCGCACGCAGCCCTGGACTGCTAACACCGTCACGTGCATTTTCTCCAGCTCCAAAGTCATCACCAACCTGGCAGCAAACATGCTGATTGACAGGGGCCTGCTGGACCCTTCAGCGCCTGTGGCGCGCTATTGGCCCGAATTTGCTGCCAATGGCAAGGAAACCATCCTTGTCAAGCATGTCCTGAGCCACACGGCGGGCCTGCCGGCTTGGGAGCTGCCCATCACGCTGGAGGAGATCTGCGACACCCCCGTAGCAACGGCCAAGCTGGCAGCGCAGCAACCGTGGTGGTCCCCGCCCGGTAGCCACCTGGGGTATCACCCGGCCACACAAGGCGTGCTGGTAGGCGAGCTGGTGCGCCGCATCACCGGCCAGTCGCTAGGGGCCTTTGTCCAGTCTGAAATTGCCGAGCCGTTGGGGGCCGACTATCGTCTAGGTGTACTCCCCGCCGATGAGGAAGGGGACCCCGCCCGTGTTGCTGAGATGGTACCGCAGCCGCAGATGCTTTCACTCGATGGGCTGGACCCGGCCAGCATTATGATGCGCACCACCATGGGGAGCCCCATCCCGCCCCAAGCTGTGAACGGACCAGGTGCGCCGCTGCGTCGCACTGAACTGGGTGGTACCAATGGCTTCTCTAACGCTCGCGCTATGGCTCGCATCGGCTCCATGGTCGTCAACGGAGGTCAGCTTGACGGAAAGCGATTCCTCTCCCCCGAGACTATCAATCGCATCCTGGAGCCACAGGTCGATGCTGTCGATTCGGTCATGGGCAAGCGAATGTCCTGGGGACTGGGCTGGGCTCTTCCCACCTCGGGCAACTCCTACGACTTGGTCACTGATGGGCGTGTGGCTTACTGGGAAGGCTGGGGAGGGTCTATCCTCATCATGGACCTAGATCGAAAGATGTGTATTGCATATGCAATGAACAAGATGGGCGCCAGCTTGGAGGGCGATGACCGCACCCAGGCCTATGTTAAGCAGATCTACCAGATTGTCCGTGACATGCAAGATACTAAGGAGATATAAGACTTTAGTATGTTTTTAACTTAATATGATACCTTTCCTTCCTAGATTGGATATATCATCCAATTCCATTAATAGCAGTATTTTCAAGCCAATGGAACTCTCTCCACCTTGCCAGACATCGATAAAAATACCCAAAGATGTGGGTATTCCTTACTCTAGACTAGATAGCTTTCATCCTGACCTGAAACTAAGCTCATGTTTGTGTTTGTAGATACCCTTGAAACTTGCAAGTTTTGGCTATGATAATATGGAACTACTAGCTAAATATCTGTGAGAAGCAGTTACTGTACTTTTCATATTCACTGCTCCCTTTGTATATACTTACATGATATAATCAAGCAGATTTTTATGTAATCCTAACCTACTTGGGATGGAATACTGGAGGTAAAGTACGGATATATAAGAAGTCTATATAACCGGATTTCTTAGTAAGGAAGATGTGATAGAATGGAGAGGTCCGTAGCAGTCAGAATAATTTTGAAGTAGTGTATTAGAAGCTACGTGGGGTGGTCTTGTAGATGGCGCGCAAGGAAGATTGAAAGTACAGAAAACCCTATCCCGACATGATACATCAAGTAGCGGCTGCAACAGCAGCACATGCAAGTACGCATGTCACAGAACCACCCTGCGAATCTATTTTCCACGTGCACTATCAGCTGTATTTAGTGGGTGAGTGCTTAAGCGGGGAGAAAATGGTGAGTATAAATATCGCCTGTACGGATATTAGGATGGAGAGAAGTACCAGCAACAATACCATGGCGTTTAGAAATATATACTTCGAACCGAAGAAGGGTATCCCTGGAGTGGCAGCTGGGTCAGCATAATTTATCGTTGGAATATGTAGCATACAGAGCTGCCTTCTTTCACCGAACTAGCCCGGCTAGCTCAATCGGTAGAGCGTGAGACTCTTAATCTCAAGGCTGCGGGTTCGAGCCCCGCGTTGGGCTTTCTTTTTTGTTCCCACATGTCTACTTCAGGATTCGCATGGGATCTCTCTTTTTTCATTTTCTCCTTCATTTGGTTTCCTTTATTACCCATTACCATATGTTAATAATATACGACTAATATCTTTCAATTGGAGATATGTCTGCCATGATAGGTCTTTTTTGCTTACCACTTTTGGAAGCCATACCTTACTTATGTCGGCGTCAAGCTACCAGAGTCATGACTCCTGGTGCTCATGATACGTATATGTAGGCATTGATATATATATAGTTCCTAAATATAAAGTCGAGCAAACGTCGAGCAAAATACGAAACGGAAGTTCACTGTCAACAATGCACAAGACATGGCGAAGCGTATAGATCATAAACACCATGAACCGAAAGACAACTGACCCTCCCCAAAATCACGCTCATTCCGGATCCACGATGGTTGAGCTTGACTCCCCCATCATCATACTCCTTCCAGCCTTCTCCTCGGCCAAAACTCTGACTGTCTCGGTCAGCGAAATAACCTGCTCCTTCAGCCGCATAACCTCCAAGGTGGTGCCATCCACTTGAATATTTGGGGTGGATTCCCGTACGGTCTGGGTCCAGCTATCATCGAGATCAAAGTCGACTTCCTCGGCAGCGTGTTCCCATTCCTGCACGTCGTCGTCGTCCTCTTCACCGCGCCGACGGTTCCACCTAATGCGTCTTGCGTCACGCACTTCGAAGAACGCTGTGATAACGAGGATGGGTGAGTATATAACGCCCATGATGACATCGTTGAGCTTGGCATAGTATTGTCTTGGTAGCCACCACTCAAACGGCAGCACTAAGAAGATAATCTCCAACAGATTAAAGGCTATTTTAAGTGTTAGCGTAGGTATCAGAAATAGTGCGCCAAACATACGAGGTATAAAGACATTCTCATCCGGTGCGCGAACGAACTGCATGGTCTTCTGAGCGAAGATGGCCATGTACTCATCAATAGCATTTCCCGAGATATCCTCGTAAGCACTGTTGTAGAGTGCAATGAGAATGTTCAGCAGAACTGGAGTGGATTCAATTAGCTGTGCAACCAAACATTAAACTCGAGGAATACCCACTTGTCATTACAACAAAGTTGAAAACGTAGTAGAGGATAATTCCAAATGGAAAGGCAAAGTCCTCAAACGTGCTGAATTCTGGGCTCTGCATGACGCTGTTCGCCATTCCTTGCACAATGCCTCTCACAATGGGGGTATCATCATCCACTTGAGCCATGCCGATGAATGCCTGGAAAAAGCCTGCAAGAACGACGAAGAGAAGGGCGAAGAAGATCAAGCTTTCCTTCATCATGACTCTCAAGACCACAAACATGGCACCGAAAAATCGGAAGGAATCGAGATAGAGCATCATACGCATCCAGAACATCGGCCCCGCAAATGCCAGAAAATTGTAGCTCAGTTCGTTCAGACTTTGTCTTTCCGCATCGTGAACAGATTGAGAATGCGCCAAGGCGGCCACGCGCAGAAAGAAAGACACGGCGAGGATTGCGTAGAGCGTAGAGTTGAAGGCATTCCAGAAGTCCAAGTAGTGCCAGCCGACTTTCCAGAGTTTGGAAACTTCGTCGCAGATGAAGGCAAGGGTCATCACATAGAGGATCCCCTCCACGGCATCTAGGTCACCGGTGGGATTTACTGTGTTGATAACCTGGGTGTAGAGTCCGAGATAAACGAGAGAGAAGAAAATCTGGCAAATGTTCTGATATAGAGGCGTCCTCATCCGATCTGGGTGGAAGTGAACTGCAAAACTTGTGTTGTCCCTCTCCAGGTAGGGAACGAAATTGGTTGGATTGCCCTCTTGCTGGCAGAACCATCCATTCCACAGGTATCTGATACACTTTTGATAACCTGAGGAGCCAATGACCCTCAAAGCATGTAGATCAACAGCGCGCTCGATGACATTAGCCGGCATGGCCTCTCCACCATCAATGAAAATCGAGTACCGCTTAAGGAGAACATTGATGAGTAGATTGTCCTGATCTTCTTCGGTTTCAATGCTATATCAGCTTGATCAGCAAAGTCTCCATAGCAATGCCAAGGGAAGGGTGTACTACATCCTCTTCGCTATGACCTCACAAGCAAGGGCTCTGCGCTCATGTAAATCAGAATCCCAGAGCTCTTCCTGAGCCTGAAGCTTGAACCAACGCAGACAAACGAGTAGACAGAAAGGAACACAGGCCTGCAGGTCTTCGCCTCCTGCTAGACGGGCTGTTTGAATCACATTTCTTGTGATAACCCGACTATTCGGACTGACAATATCACTCTCATCTAGCTCGCAAGGGATGACTTGCTCCAGCTGGTACTTCAGACGAAGAGCGACTTTTGTTACCTCCTTAGAGGGTAGGGTAGAAGAGACCTGGTCATCTGTAAAGGCAGGAAGCACTATGAACCCTGTTAGCCGAGAGCATGTTGTAGAGCGGCTCCGCAATCAGATGACGTACATCGGTGTTGTTCCATATGCAGGCGGTGGCGGGTCCGCCCCGCGTCGGTGTTGAAGATATCTCGCCAGTGACCCATTTTGGATGGCCCAGAGGAAGAGATCAGTTGGTAGAAGAATAGCTACGGTCGGATTTTCACAGACGCTGAGGGAGGACTCAGGAGGGAGACTTCAGAGCTACGGTCTACTTAGTTAATGTAAGTCTTTCAGGACTAACTCAGCCAGGCCGCGCGCCCCACTTCTTAGCCGCTCACCCAAACCACCAATGAAGGAGCCATCTTCAAGGTGCAAAGCATACAAGCGGTCAGGATACGAATGTTACTGAGCAGCAGCGCGAAATGATCGACCTGCTCCTTGCAATTAATCCGGAAGAGAAGGGCTTATACATCAGTGTCTGAAACGGCCACTGGGGTTGAACCGTTCGTTGATCAAAGAAGCTTATGTACATCAGAAAGAGAGGGCTCCTGTTGGGCCAAAGCCACTCACCAACAGAGAGTCAAGCAACATCCACTGATCAACAATACAAGGGACAATGTGCATGTCATTATCACCTTATGGGAAAGAAAGGCCTCTGGATGGGATGAGGCCCTTCCGATCGTCTTCATACCCCGCCGATGATCTCGATTTCACCCGTCGCACATCGCACATTAAACCGTACTTGCGTCTCATAAATCGTGTCATGTCCAGAAACTCTATTGAACTTTTTTTCCACACCCTACCCGACACACTTATATGATCGCCTTCAATCTTCAGTCTGCGATAACCCCACAACACCAGTTCGTGAAGCGCTCTGCTTGTTTCTCATGTCGCCGCCGAGGCGAACTCTCAAGCTTCACACGCTGTCGCTAAGCTCGCGGCGGGCAGTTTACTCAGGAACGCCCTCATCGCTCTCGGACATGCTCTCGTCACCGCTGACTTCCATGTTCTCACGCTCACGCTTCTCCATGAGCTCCTGGAGGGCAGCATCATCGTGCTCAGTAACAGCCTTGGGAGCCATCTTGACAATGCAACCACCGCCAGACTCCTTGATCTTGGCCTCAATCCTTTGAATAGCCTCCTCGAGCATTTGAATACCAATGGCCTTGTCCAAGCACTGGCTGGTCAAGACGTAAAGTGGTGGGGCAACCAACTTAACCTTGATCTGGGTCTCGGGGGTGTTGTGGGCCTCGGCGGTGCGCAGGGCCTCCTTGACCGCATCGATACCGTCGTAACCGAAGCAAGTAACCTCAATATCGGCACGGACCTTGGTCGGGTGAGGAGTAAGTCTCTTGCTGATGTAGTGCGTCAACTCCTTCTTCACGTTCTCGTTAGGGAATTCAACCTCGTTCCACACGTCGGGGTTCCTGTGATGATATGAGTATGATGATTCATGACAGTCTTGAGTCCAGTGGTCCTTACGTGATGGAGATCTTGAACGCATCGTGGGAGTGTCCATATTTGCGGTTCAGGGGCCATCCGATCTGCTGGTATAGGGTCTCAAGAGGGGTCTGAGTGGCCTCGGCAACGTGGCGCATGATGGAGTGGACAGCCTTGCTCTTGTTGTATCTTTCCTCACACTTGACAACATCTTCGGGAGAAACTCGACGCTTGGAAAGATCGATATAACCTAAATACGTAGAAGAATACGAGTTAGTAAGTTGATGCTGATGTTGTCATCCAGAGGACTCGGACTTGCCCTTCTCCTTGTCCACACGAAGCACGATGACGACCTCGTTACGGCCGATACGAATAAGCTTCTGGATACTGCGGATACGTCTGCGCGACAATTCGGAGAGCAGAATCATGCCGTCGATGTTGTCATACTCGAGGAGCTTAACGTATGCGCCCATTTCGGCGATCTGTGAGGGGTTGAGAGACGGGTGTTAGACAGCGTTTTTGAACCCCGAAAAGAACCAAATGACCTGTAGCAATGCATACCTGCTTCACGTTGACCATGACATAGCTGTCAACCTCCGGATACTTCTCCTCGTAGAAACGGCAATTTGTCAACGACATTTTCGGCGGGGTTGCGCCTTTTGCTAGGCAAAGCTTCGGAACTGTTCAAGAGTTGATGGAAGGCTGGAAATCGATAAGGTATCCGAGACAAGGTGGCCTCGAAATAATACCTGCGTAAGAGTGCCCGAAAGGATGTGAGGGAGTTGTGAGGTTGGAATGAAGACTGCCACTATTGGGGATCACAAAGCACAATTCGAAAAACCCACTTTCGGCCTCGCGGTTGAGTCATCACGTGCAGGGCTCAAAAGCCTCACCGCCCGGCAAAATGCGATAATGCATTGATAGGCCTATCCGTCTCCGCAGACTTAAGGTTAGAATGTGTATTGTCCCGACAAGACTAAAAGTAATTCTATCGCTAAGATATTCAACAACATTATCATGGAATTTTTATGGCAACTGCAGCGAAAACTGTGCCCGAGCAAACAGTATTGCACAATTGTCTTGACCCTTTGTCTCCGTACGCCTGTTTAATGAATGGCTTAATAGTGCAATATCCCTCCAAGACTAGCGCTACGAGATGCTTTCTATTTGTATACAGAATATCTGCTTGAACCTCTCAAAGTGCAGCTCATCCATTCGTGTCAAGCAGCTTAGACTAGTGGTTTCTACGAAATAGTGGATATTGGCACGAGTCCAAAATTTGTAGCTCTTCTTATTGACCAGACATATCATGCTGGGATAGGAGGAGTACTTGCATAAAAGTGGAGTATTGCGCAAAATGCTACTCAAATATCCCGTGCTATCTGAACTTTGCTTACACAGACTCAGCACTGAAGGTTGCTATTGATGAAAGCCATGGTCTTGGGAGGAAGACAGCATACGCTGAAGCAAACCAGTATGGAGGTGATCCCTGCTTCCACCCCCGAGCTGAAAAAGTAATGGAAGTAAGATAGGTCAGCTTACAGATTGATGTCACACTGTGAAACATATCACTAGAGTATTCAATGGAAATGGTTAGTGAGATTTCAGAGATGCCTAAGCATGGCGCTTATGGTTGAATAGTATATCTATTCGGAAGACGCAAACGTCGTACCTAAGGCTATACCCCAGTAAAGATAGTCGTGTCAAAAAACAATGTATAGATGTTTTCATTATATTCCAGCGTAACACAGATAAACCCAAAATTTCGATGCTAATGCTTCACTATACCTGAACAAGTGAATATTTTGAAGTTTATCTACTGATTGAAGAAAGTGGTTACCTCTATATTTTGGCGTGGTATCATATCAAGAAGTATGGTTGTACTTGTGAGAATAAATCACCCAGTCTTCCAATCAAAGCGCAACGTTAGACGTGACAGTCAGTCATTGAATTTAGAATCATACAACAGAAGCTGAGCTTTAGCTCAACCTCGAGGTTCAAAACGCATCAAGATAGGAAACCCTGAAAGAAATCAACAACCAATAGCCTTACCTGCCACTACAACTCTTTACAAAGCCGAGGAAACTGTTCATCTGACCGTGTCAAACAAGCATACCCAGACCCCGAACATTAGGCTGGGGGCAAACCGTTCATGACCAGCCGCATAAGTCGGGCAGGGTACCTAAGTACTATTAGACCAGATCAACACTCGTGGCAGAGTCTGCCATATTTTGGGGTAAGTAAGGCCACTTGGGAAGCAGAGGAGACATGCGAGAAAAATCAGTGAAAGTAGTAGATGACTTTAAGCACCCAGATGACTCAGATGCAAGGCTTAGTTTTCTTCAAAGATTGTGTTCGCGCGGTAGCCGCAGCAGAACCTTAGTGCTGGGACTATGGTGTAACCTAGGTTATGTTCTGTATAGGGCCATGCGCAATGGCATTGGTGGCTGTGAAGCTTCATGACCCATAGAAATGCCAGGATATGTGGACGGCATAGGTGTGGATCTACATTCACGACACGGTGGTTTGCTTTGCGATAAAAGCCTGACGCTAAACAATATATATCCAATCAATTTCTTCATCGGCTCGGAACAGTTGGCCTGGACTATACTATGTAAAGATGGGAGGATTGCTGATGCTCTTGACAGCATTGCATGAAAACTGATGAGTTATTAGTGCCCAATAAGTATCCTATTCTTGGAATAGGTTACTTCATGATTTGGTGATCAGAAGCCTGAAATAGCTTATTTGCTTGTTCTGTTTGTTCACTAGCCATTGATCAAAGATTGTCTATTCGGAGAAAGTTTAGATAAATCTTGCTAGACTCCCTGACACGACGGTTTGACTCACATAGCATGTTCTCGCGGGATATCAGTAAGCCCCATTGGTCTTTGTAGAAGCACCCGACACGTAAAGGAGAATCAACTCGAGGCAAGTTGCACAGCCATCTTTCGTAACCGTAAGCCTGGATCCAGGGCAATGCCAGGCTGAGTTTCAGCTACAGCAGGGAAGATGTTCATGAGGCTCTGCCGCAACAATTTCACTGTGTATTCAGGCTTGGCCAGGAAGTTTGATAGAAGTGTACTTGGGCAGTTTTAAGAGGTAGTACAGGCTTCAACCAGACATCCTCATAGCCTTGAACGCCTTTAAACCTACCCCTGCCACCCCCTCCTGCCATGCTGCAGGTGGAGTTTTTCATTCTTCATTATAATCTTCATTTCGTGTTTCCCCATTGACAGCCAGTTTTGCCTGAAATTTGTGACGCGAGTGTACCTTCAGTAGCAGGAAACAGCAGCTAAATAATCGTTCAACCTGGACTTCGATATGTACTAGCGGGACATGGCCCTTTACTGTACCTTCTCGGTCGTCTGGCGTTCATAGCCTCCAACATCATTGATCAGTACTCTCCCCACTTACCGCAATGGCCATCTTATTACGTACGACACTTCTACTACTCTGCACTGCATCCAGCTTTGTCTTCGCCCAGAACGTCACCACGGAGGCCCAAGCAACAGAACGGGTGGGATGGGTTGCTAACGATACGACCCGAAGCACTTCTCAGATTATCTTCTGTTGCGTATCTATCTTCCTTGTCTGCTCCTGGGAATGTGTGCACCTGAATATACCAAGTATTGAAGAGAGCGAAGCAGGCTGGTATATTTACAGGGGCTGGCTGTATTACTGGCCCACGGCTCCTCTACGACGACTTTGGTTTCGGAGAATGGGATGGGTGGCTTTGATTGCCATTGCCCCGGAGATCGGAGTGGCAGTAGCCTTGGAAGAGCTAATGGAGGCTAGGAAAACCTTTAGGAGATATAAGCATCTTGGTTTCACCATGCCCCACGCTTTTTATGCCTGTATGGGTGGGTATCGGGTGGCCATTCCCCGAACCTTTCTCAATCAGGATGTTGACACTCGGGATGGTCCAACGTTGATGGCCGGGACTGTACAGGGAGACAACGAGAATCATCAAATTTTAGTGAAAGATACTATGGTCGAAAGGATGTTATATTATAGCCCTCAGCTGACCACCCTAGGTGAGAAATCAATATTTAACTGATTCGGAATCCGGGACACTTAGCCTGACATATTGCAGAGATACTAGATGAACTAGGAATCTTTCCGGCCACTGAGGAAGCTTGCTTACAGGACCGAGGCCTTCCTCTAATGAAGGAGGAAGACATTCATAATGTTTCGACATCAGATGCTGTTATCAAGGGGTTTGCTTGTCTTCAATGCGTATGGCTTATCAGTTTGGACATCACGCGTGCGGCTGCGGGTCTGCCCATCAGTGAGCTTGAGCTGATGACACTGGCCTTTATTTTCTGTGCGCTGATAATGTACGGCTTGTGGTGGTATAAGCCGTTCGGAGTCCAACGTGCCACCCTTATACTCCCTTCCAACCAGGAAAAAGCAAGTATTGTGCAAGATAGGCTGGGTCCACCGGGCGCTGAGGGGAGAAGTCAGGGAATAGGTACTGTGGTTGAAACCTGGCTGGATTTGCCTCGTTGCTTCTTATTTGATCCTTTCGACTGGAAAAGAAGCGAGTATGATGAGCCAAGATCCATAATCTGCAACCTCACCTCTCTGGTATTCTCTGGTTTCCATCTTGTTGCCTGGAACTGGGAATTTCCATCAGACACGACCCGCATGCTCTGGCGCATCTTTAGTCTGACTGCAACAGGAGCCCCCTTGGTCCTGATGAGTATTTCAGGAATCTTGCTTGTTTACTATACGACGGGCTCCAGGGTGAGATATAGGGCGGCTCTGAAGGTGGTGATGTATGGGATGAGTATCATCTATACCATCTCACGAGTCGGCTTGATTATTTTGGTTTTTTATTGTTTCTCTTCGATGCCGGCCGCTGTCTACAAGACAGAGCAATGGTGTCATTTCTTTCCCCATTTTGCTTAACATAGTATCGAGAAAGATAGATTCAGACAACCAGCTCCATTCAAATCGAGACATCGACTAAGGCATAAGTCCAGCTTCATAGAGGTCCTCGTATCTCATTTGCCTGATGGCCGTTATTGTACAAAATAGTAGTAGTAGTAGTAGTAGTAGTAGTAGTAGTAGTAGTAGTAGTAGTAGTCCACTGGGATCATCGGGCTGGATGGTCCGTGCTACAGGCCCACCAATCAGTTACTAAGCGAAACCCCAAGATTGGTCAAATTCATCATCATTTGCAGAACAACTCATCTTCGAGGGATTGAGTATATTGTAGCGCACTCATCTGGCGTGGCCTGACTCTACTCCGTACATTAGTGGTCAATTACCAGAGCGTGATTTGGACGGTGGTGGCCATTGAAGAGCCTGGTGTTTAGGAGTGTACTCTGTAGAACAACGACCCTCTGGGTATAAGGCAACCAATTGTGTAAGCATTATATGCAGATTGCTTGTGTAACATTCTCAGTTGGATGCCCAATTACTCCAATGTTTGGCACTACTGGATTATTCAAATCAATTACAGACAGTGGGCATCATCATCACATACCGGAATGGGATAAAGGGAGAACAAAGAAAGTTATGTAAGCCATGAGTGGGTTGTTCTCCAGTTTTAGTATGTTTATCTTCAGGGTCCGAACGTCATCGACGCCTGTCTCAACTTTCTGCCAGATCGGAGAGAGACAGAGAGAGACAGAGAGAGAGAGATTGCAGGGCAAAACTCTGCCCGTGCATCAGCCTTACAAAATAAAATATCTTGGTATTTTAAAACTTTCAGTTCCACCGCCAATCAGGGCCTGCTTGCCTCGTCCGAAAACTTACGATTCCGCTAACGATGGACTTATCTTAGCCCAACAGCCACCGCTCCTTGCGCTAGCAATCGTGTCTCGCAAATCGCTCAACCACAACTGTGCTTCCTTTTTTTCCCCCAATCTTACCTCGCCGCTGAAGTCGCCATCCCTTATGGCGTTTTCTGCGACATTATAGCGTGCATTGTCTGTTTGATTCGATCGTGCTTTTCACCCCGGGTTTCTCCGAATCAACATGACGGATCTCAATCCGCAGGGCGGACACCTCGAACACCGCTCTTTGCGGGACTGGCTTGCGGGCTTCTTCCGAGCACCTCTGTCAAACAGCTCTGCAGATCCTCCGCCTGAACGGGTTCCCGAGACCTTAGAACCGAACGATAGAACTCGCTTGTTGAAATTGGACGATGGTCAAGGAGGTCCCGCATACGGTACGAGAGATGGTTTGTCGACGCCGCAGGTTGACGGTGGACCTGAAGGACATATTCGGAATGGGAATGGAAACCCAACATTTGTACAAGGACCGGAGAACCTGCCTCCCAGGACTGGGTCAGGTCTGGCGTGGCCTGTGAAGAACCATAAGACGATGTAGGTTTGGAATATACAGTCTCTCGGCTTTGGATTCAGGACGAAACAACTGATTGAGATACAGGTACCTCTCATACTACATCCCGTTCTTCAACTGGATCACACAATATCGCTGGTCTTTCCTCCGAGGCGACTTGATCGCAGCCTTGACAATCGCATCAATCTACATTCCCATGGCGCTATCTTTGGCTTCAAACCTCGCCCACGCGCCAGCAATCAACGGCCTGTACTCATTCGTTTTCATGCCACTGCTCTATGCAATCCTGGGAAGCAGTCCTCTGCTCGTTGTTGGTCCGGAAGCAGCTGGGTCACTATTGACGGGAACAATTGTCAAATCTAGCGTCAAACAAGGCCACTCGCAGGAGGACGATGAGGCCGCAAGCGCAATGGTCGTAGGCATAGCCACTGCCATGGCAGGAGCCATGATACTAGTCGCTGGACTGACTAGGCTGGGTTTCCTGGATAATGTACTCAGTCGACCTTTTCTGAGAGGTTTCATCACTGCCATTGGCTTTGTCATCTTTGTTGACCAACTCATCCCTGAGGTTGGATTGGCAGACCTGGCCAAAGAGGCCGGTGTCAGCCATGGCAGCACAGTGCAGAAGCTTGTCTTCTTCGCTGAGAATATCAAGAACTGTCATGGTCTTACAGCTGCTGTATCCTTCGGTAGCTTTGCAATAATCATGCTTTTTCGGTATGTACCAAGACCCCACCAAGCCCATAAAGGCGATACATCATTGCTGACCCTGTGCCCACAGAACAATCAAAAAAGCACTCGAACCACGATACCCCCAGGTCGTCTACTTTCCTGACCGTATCCTCGTTGTGATTCTCTCTGCCATCCTGACCTGGCGTCTTGGATGGTACGAGCAGGGGCTGGAAGTTCTAGGCTCAGTCCAGAACACTGCCACTGGGCTCTTCGCATTCAGGTGGCCCTTCCAACTCAAACATTTGAAACATGTGCGCACCGCTATGAGCACCTCCTTCATCATTGCTATTCTTGGCTTCTTCGAGTCCTCAGTTGCCGCCAAGGGCCTCGGGGAGAGACGAGACGGTGTCCAAGGCATGTCAGTCAGTGCAAACAGGGAGATGGTTGCTCTAGGCGTTGCTAATGTGGTTGGGGGCTGCTTTATGGCTCTCCCTGCCTTTGGCGGATACGGACGGAGCAAAGTCAACGCTTCTACGGGAGCACGCTCTCCTATGAGCAGCATATTCCTCAGTGTTATCACTTTCATTGTTATTATGGTGCTCTTGCCATATTTATACTATCTTCCTGTGAGTTTTTTTTCTCCAATCCCCGAGTATTACTGGGTAAGACATGTGCTGATATCCATCACAGAAAGCTGTACTATGCTCTACGATATCGGTCGTCGCATACAGTCTTATAGAGGAATGTCCCCACGACGTCGCCTTCTTCATCCGGCTGCGTGGTTGGACAGAGCTTGCATTGATGCTTCTCATCTTCGTCTCCACTATATTTTACTCGCTGGAGTTGGGTATCGCGCTTGGCATTGGGCTCTCAATTCTGATCCTGATCCGTCACTCCACCCAGCCTCGCATCCAGATTCTCGGGAAAATAGCTGGGACATCCGACCAATACGACAACGCCGAAATGCACTCAGAGAACGTGGAGCTCATTGACGGCGCCCTTGTTGTCAAGATCCCCGAGCCGCTCACCTTCGCCAACACTGGCGATCTCAAGAATCGCTTGCGCCGTCTAGAGTTCTACGGCTCCAATCGCGCACATCCATCCCTCCCACGGTTGCGGCCCCCAGAGTCGAACAAGAACGTGATCTTCGACGTTCACGGTGTCACGAGCATCGATGGCTCCGGTACGCAGGTCCTCTCCGAGATTGTGAACGATTACATCAATCTCGGAGTAAGCGTTTACTTCTGTCGCCTTTCGAATCGCAGCGTCTTCCGCATGTTCGAAAGAAGCGGCATAGTCGACCGATGCGGAGGCATGTCTCATTTTGTCCCTGGAGTTGATGAGGCGCTTCGGCTCGCTGAATCCGAAGGCCGTGCATCGGAACCTTGAAGGTTTAAATCCAAGTGAAGCCCGGCGCTTCTCTCATATAGGTGTGCTACCTGGTCATGATCCGAACCTGTAAACGATTCACGACATTGCACGATACAAGACAGACGTTTAGAATGTATAGTCCCAGCATCCGTTAGATATGTTGTTGGTAGCATTTGAAATCAGAATCATCAGCGGTTTTCTTCGATATTCGCTTGTTCATGCAGATCCTCGTAGCAATCAGGGTTTCTGGTTCTCATCCTCACTCATCTCAGCTCTGCGCAATATATCGGAAAGCAACACCTCACAAGCACGTAATGCAAGATGATTGTTCCGACCAGCAGTGGTATTCGCATCACCGTTGTCGCCAGCTGGTGTCGATGCAACCAGCTTTAGCTTCCCATCTCCACCGAGCACGAAACCCCCACAGGCGATCCGCGCAAGACGCACATGATCTTGTCCCTTGAGGGTGGGCTCCGCATTCCCACCGGTCAAATCAAACTTCATCGCCAAATGCTCCTCCAGGTATGCACTAAGCACAGCCAGAACGTCCGACTCACTTCCATCACCGTTATTTCCAGCATGAAGGAACCCGCCCAACGACTCTCGTGGCACCGTGATGTTCAAAGTACGTAAATCCGGCGCAGCAAGGGCAGGGAACGATAGCGTGAGGTGAAGCTCTTTGACAATCTCGACTGCGTTCACAGTCCCGGATCCATCTTCCAAGTTCAATGTGTTTATATATGTGTTCAAGGCTGTGCCTATAAATCGCGAAGGAAGACGAAGCGGAGAACAGTACGTGTCGAAGGTCGAAGAAAGAAAGGAGACGAAAGTTTGTCGGAGAGGAGCCGGAAAGCGGGTTAGAAGGAGCGGTAGGTGCGTAGCATGTGTTTGGGTCTGAGAGCGAGTTCGGGTGCGAGGTTTCGAAACGGTTTCGGTTTGAATTGCAGGGAGAGAGGACAAGCTAAGAAGAGCTGCTTTGTATGTTGCGTTCTCGTACTCTAGGTTCACGAGGATTCCACTTCCATGTTGGGAAGGCCTATGTAAGGCTGGTGCTGAGCGTTGAGTCCGCGCTCGGGATCGAGGTCCGTTCGACGCTTGAGACTCATTGTCAGGGTCGCGTTCGAGTTCAATGTCTGAGAATGAGAGACTGGGTATGGGTTCCCAGGTGCAGGATTGCAGCGCGCCGGTTCGGGAGAGGGTGTCGTCGTCGGTTGTGGGCAGTGGACCGGTGGATTGGAGGGCAATCGGGAAGGAGGCTGCGGTTACTTGATCGCGTAGTCGGGTCGCGTAGAACTTCAGAGCCGCGGGGTTGTTGACAAGGCTGTCAAAGTCTCTTCCGTGGTGGAGGGGGGAGAGATGGTGGAGTGTCCATGAGGTGTTTAGTAGGCTTGTTTGCGTCATTGTGGTATCGTGAGGCTGGTTGAAGGTGTTTTATGCATGCGAAGGGATGGTATATCACATTTATCACATATGGTGTTAGTATAGCACAATTGGAAGAGATGCTCCCTTGGAGCTTGTCGATCAGTAAATGATGCGGCAGCTGTTTACTTAGTCGG